ACAATATCATAATAACAATCTGTAACAGATCAAAACAAAGTTCCTAACCCTGAAGGTGGCCAGCTAAACAAGTCATGTAGTGGGCCATCTTTTCTTATTTCTTATAGCCATTTCCCTTGTTGAATGACCTTTTCTAATTAGGTCTCCACTCCTGAAGTGTTTAAACATGTGCAACAGGTAGTGTGAGCAACACACAAACTCCACCTCATTCCAACTTTCTAATCACTTAAGTCTTTCTGGCCACCAGCCGGATCCTAAGGCTATGTAGGGACTCCTTCATAAACCACTCATTAGCATTAACTCAGACTCTGCTCAAAAGAAGCTTTTTATGGATAAAAAATGATACTCATATCACTCTGGAAATTCCAAAGGTTTTAGGAGTTTTGTGCCAGGAACCAGGGACAAAGACCAAATATATTCCTTATACTGTAATTCAGAACATAGCTCCCACACATTTTTCCTCCTTTTGGGACAGAGAAAGAAAAGGAAGAACTGGATTTTGGAAAGTATAAAACAAATTTTAATTATAATAGGCAGGTAATATATAGAACTTGTTTTAGTGTCTAGTGAAAAAGACCTCTCAACTATAAGTTTGGCTGAGAAATAAGGACAAAATAATTATATATTCACCTTAGTCTTTCAATAAAGGCAGGAAGAGCTTTCCATTTCAAATTTGTTTTGTTTTGTACCACATATGGGTTAATTAGATAAAACCATGTCATGTGCCAGATTCAATCAGCCTGAAAATAATCAGAAAACTGGGCTTTGGCATTGTTAATGCTGTTTTGGCTCAGATAGACAAAAGCACAAAATGTAAATTGGCTCCAGAAAATCACAGATGTGCACTAGTGCCAGCTTTTCTTTCAGGGGATTATCTCTAGCTGGCACCTGAGCAGCAGATGCTGCTCTGGATGACCATTAGACACATCTACACAATGCAGATACCCATTTTCCATGACAACTCCACAAATGGCAGCTATTTACTACCTTTGACATAGGCCAAAGCCAACTTACCAACTATTGGCAGTAAGGCAACTGCAACTGAAATTACATGTTGAAGTTAAACATGAAAACAGGTGGGGTTTTTTTTTGTTTGTTTGTTTTTGTTTGTTTGTTTGTTGGCTTATCCCATAGTGACTTCCTTGAAGTTCCTTTTTTTGTCTTTTAAATCTCCTATAAGAATATAAATAAAGTTCTGCCTGAAACAGCTCCTCAGCTTGCATTTCCTTATTGTAGGTAGTTTAGTGAAATATTAGGGGGAACAAGGCAAAGCATTTCACTGTTTTCCTACTTTAAGTTCCAGTGGATGAACATTTAGCAATTAGGCAAGAGTGAGAAATAGTAATTTTCAAAATCTAATCATCTTGTCAGTGTAGGTGGCTAGATATTAATAAAGGAAAGGAGTAAAGGAAATCTGACATTATTAAGCATAATCAATTAGGAAGCATAAGTTGGCTTGCTTCCCTAGGAAGTTACAGGTTCACATACTCCCCCAGGAACCACTGGTCCATTCCCTGCAGATCAGAAAAGATAGAACAAGAAAGGGAGAGGTAAACACAAGTGTAGCAGAGGCCAAGATGGTGATCATAGAGGTCTGTCAGTGTAGCTAGGGGATAGGATTGGATTGGATAAGAGATGGAACCCTGTAAGAACTAGGAAATAGATTTGTTAGGGGGTGAGCCTGTAGCTGGAAAAGCCAGTGTTCATGCTGCCTGTCACTACCAGACCCAGTAAACAGAGACAGGGATTAAATCTTTATGGACACATTGTTCAGGTGGTCAGAGACCTAAGAAGATGGCAAGTTTGTAGCTTAACAGATTGTCTTAAATTCCACTTTAAAATGGCCTTTATAAGGAAAACAAAGTGTAGGTAAGGAGTTTGGAATTCAGGAAAAAGTTAATTGGATTAAAAAACTACAGCATTCTCTCCCTGGTCAGTAGTCTTTAGTTGTGTCCTGAGCAGTTGGTCATCTCACTCTGGAGTACAATGGCTCATTTACCATCTTGAATTGTTTGCAGTCCTTCTGAGGCACAAAAGTGGAACTGCTTATGGCGTCCTGGAGTCAGGGTGGGTCATACCTTCGGTTCCTGGAACAATAGTTTTTACGTGCTATTAATTAGACTAAAATATTCCAACTTTCAAGTCCCTCATCAAACCCTTCAGAAGCACAAAAGACCTCTCAACTATACCTTGAGAGGTATACCTCTCAAAATAACCTTGATTGGTTATTTTGAAAAAGCTTCTGGTCCTTCCCAAGCCCAAAATAATATAATCCCAGCTAACAAAGCCCTTCCTTCTCTCTCTCCCAGTAACATGTATTCGCCTCATTTGTCCCCTCATTCTCTCCATAGCAGCTATGTGAGACTAACAGCTGCCTGTCGCCTTGGTGGCTACAGGGACTCCTAAGGTGGCCCAAGCCTGGAAAGGCTGTAAAGCTACACTAGCAGAATGGTGATAAAGGCTGGACTGGACTGGACTAAGGTTTAATATGGACTAGCCTTGGCATGGCAGAGAATCTCTAAACACTGGTCCTACTTCTGGGCCCGATGGAAGCAAGCTTAGACTTTTTCCACAGCAGACCAACAAAAATGGGACACCGGAAACCCAGGGAAACTCCTTTGATTTTTACATCAGGTGCCACAAATAAATATTATCACCAGACTTCATCCTCCTTTGTGAATATCCTAGAATGCTTTCCTCGTGACATCACAAAAACCCCACTTCCACTGACAACAATCTGATTGATGATAAAATCCAAATTAGCTAGTTTTCCCTTCTCTTCCTGCTATGTAAATTCTCTGATATCTGTACATGGAGACATAGAATTACACATTGCTCTCCTTATACATTTTTAAAAAGAATATATTCTAGAATATTCTAGAATGTGGGCTGGGTGATGCTCATTATCTCCCTAGTATTGATGAAACTCGTTTTGTTCAAGTTTCCAGTGACCACCTACTTGCCAGATTCAGTGGGCATATTTTATCCTTATCTTACTTGGTTTATCTGTAGGTGTCTAGCATTTTTCACTCTTATGTTCTCGAAATTTCCTTGGTTTTCATGAACCCACTCACCTGACTTCTATCTCTTCTCGATGTCTGCAATGCTTTGTTTGCAAGAATAGAAAACTCAACTAAAACCTAGTTTAAATTTAGGGCAACAGTTTCTTCAACAAGTCAATAGCACGAAAAAATGTGAAGAAAGCAATTTTCGTGATTAAATGAAGACTGATGTGACATAAACATTAACTGCTGTTTGTGGATTTGGAACCTTATATGAACAAACCAGATATTTAAGTATTTTTATTAATAATCAGGAAAATTTAGATGAGAATTGGATATTAAGTGACACAAAAAGTTAATAGTTTTTGTAAGGTATATTAAAAAGAAAAGCCACAGGCCCAAAATGGTGTCACTTGTCCTAAAAGCCAGTGATACCAACCCTCATTACAGTTTCTGCTTCTCCTGGAAGTAGAATTTTAAGCCAATCAGTCTGGAATTTCCTTATCCATGAGAATGAAGTACCAGTAATATGCCTGATAAGACCCACTGCCTTCTCCTAAGGGAAGGTGTCCTTGCCAGAAATAAACCACCCTTTTAACTTCTTAGTTCCATTCTCTTTCTGCCTATAAAAACCTTCAATTTTGCACAACCCCTGAGAGGATGCTTCTAGTTTCTAGATGGGATGCTGACCAATTCATTAATCACTTAATAAAGCCAATTAGATCTTCAAATTTATTCCGTTGAATTTTGTTTTTTAATAGGTGTCATAGTGGTGTGATATGTTAGAAAATGTCCATATTTAGCAGGAACACATACTGAAATACACAGTGAAATAACATCCTGTCTTGCTTTGCTTTAAAATACTCAACAAAAAGAAAGAAAATAGAATTGTGGCAGAATCTTCACAATTGTTTAATATGGATTTTGGTGTGTGAATGTTCATTGTTTATTTTTCAAATGCTTATTAAATGCTATTCTTTATTTTTTAAATGCCTAAAGTTTTAAATACAAAGTTAAAGAGAAATTAAAATAAGGGAATTTTTACTTCATAATTTCTTTTTAATCTCTTTGGCTTTCAATGGTATTTACTTCATCTAAGGACACTTCTAAGGTAGGGGCACCATATATCCTAGTTTGCCAGGGCAGTTCCAGTTATATTTATTGCCCTAACATGATTATTTATAGCACTATGTTTTATTTAAATGTTTTGGATGATAAATTAACAGTCACCTTAGCCCATGGTTGACAAATGATTACCCATCATAATTACATCTTCACACTTCCCTGTTTGTGTGCACCTCTGAAGAGAGGTGAAGCTGCTTTTTCCAGAAGCACCCAGCAAACCTTTCATATCATTCCAATTTTCAGGAAGGGCTATGTGGCCATCCATAAAACAAATATTATGGATAGAATGATGGGATACATTGGCTAACTTATGTAAATCATGGCTCAACCTGAGATTAGGGGACAAAGTCAATCCTTGGTTACTTGTTAAGTGAGGGCAAGAGAAATTAAATGTGGAGAGGAAACCAGTAACGGTTACTACACCTCTCCTTGCCATGTCCTTGCCTTGTTCTTGCCATTGCCTTAGTTTAGACCTCAACATTTCTTACTCAGATGTAACAAACAGAAACCTTATTTTATTTAACCTGGGCTTTTATTTTGATTCTTTTCCTTTAACTGAAACTGTCCTCACCCAGAACACTGACTCACCCAGTAGTTTCCCTTTCTGCATCATTAAGCCTTCAGGACAATGAGATTCTGGTCAGCATCCAGTATTCTTAGGAACAAGGTCCTGGCTCTATTGACTACAGAGAGAGAGTTACAATCTAACTAAAGATAACATCTTGGTCTCAGCTGTATTTTAGCTCTACACCCAGGAAGCGGAATGATCACACCAAACAAATCCTTGAGACAAACAAAACACCCTACTAGCTCCGAGTGTGACTCTAGGCTTTAACAGAACAGGCTGGCTCCAGCCTAGGTGAGATCTTCCAGTGACCCGCCCTCCACTAGCGCAGGTGCAACCTCCTCTAAACCCTCGAAGCAACCCGTCTAGTTTGTCCCTGCGGCCCTCCCGTACGCGGCACCGAGGCTCAGCGCGTCCCTCTCAGCCACGTTGTTATGGCTGCGGGTGGTGGTGGGAGCTCAGCCTGCGAGGGCCTGCGGTACGCAGAGTACTCGCTGCCCTCCAGCAAACGGCCGGACTCGGAGATCGATCAAGGACTGGTGAGTCCTGCCGCGCTCCCACCTCTCTCTAGCTCTTAGCTGCCGGCTGGGCCTGGTAGCAGCCGCTGGGAGTCCCTCCTAATCCTGCCTCACCTCTGTATACCTCCTTTTCCCTGAAACCCTGGTTGCGGCTTTCATTCTCCATTGTCGTCGTCCTCGTCGATCCACGGTTAATTCCTTCAGCCCCAACGCTGCGCTGTGCCTGGAGCTACAACGAGGCGTGTTTAGAGAATTTCTGTCCCCTCAAGGACCTTGCCGTCTTGTCGAGGACACAGACCAGAACAGCCATTTGGAGATTGAGTGTCCTAAGTGATGTAGGATGGATTCTCTTTATTACCTAGGAGATCGCAGTCCAGTTTTGGAAAGGAAACTGTGTATTTTATTCATTATAGCCACCATAATATTTCAATCGAGGTAAGCCACGTGAAAGAGTTGGGATAGTCTGAGGGCAGTGGTGCTATTTTGATGAGTTTTAAGTAAAAGAGTGATAGTAGGGCCATGGCAAGATTCTCTCTGGCTACTTGTAGGAAGAATGAATTAGATGGGGGAAGTCCGGAAACGTTTTCTACACCACGTTCCCTGCTACTCCAGCTTGCAGTGATGTATCTTGTCTACTTAGTGTCCAGCAGAGTCTTAAAATTTTGAGGGATGCAGACAGTTCTTTGATTACAGGGTTGTCTGTCTCATACTTATTAGGACTTCTAGGATCCATAGTCCTCCATTTACCAATTATCTTTTCTCTTACCCAAATTATTATGACAACCAAAAGGAATACAGATTTTCGAAGTGTCCCTAAAGGCCTGTTCCGCTCTTGTTGGGAACCATTGGTCCAAGTAATGACCAATGAAGAGGTAGAAAATAAGAGAGCTGACAATAACTTTGGGGAACTTGGAAGTATTAAAAGTGATGGGAAACTGACAAATGGTAAGTGTTAAGAAAGAATAAATGACCTAGGTGTAGGACATATTTAGTAATCTTTTTGAAAATAATAGAAAATAAAATGTTTCTCAAGGAGTAGAAGAAAAAATGTGTCTGCTAGTTGTTAGATAACTTCCTCTCCAACAAGTAGTAGTAGAGTTAAATAACTTTCTCTTAAATAAGCTCTTTGGGAACTAAGATTGTTTATTAGCATGTTTAAGAGGTTAAAAAGAAAAATGTAGGTAAAAATATCTGTAGTACCTTGAGTGAAATAGTAACACAGAATTAATTGTTTAATAATTAGAGGTCATAGTAAAACTTTGCTTTAGCAAAGCTAGGTCTCATTGAAAAGTAGGAAAGAAACTTTAAAGTTAAAAAGAGAAGAATATCATCAAATTTTAAAGCAGTCTGAACAAAACTCAGTTTGTGTGAGGGGGGTAGCCTTTTAGTTTCCAGTACTTTCTTGATAGTGTAAGTCCCTAATGTCATTAGGATAGTGTAGCAATTTTCAACTGATTTGCTGCAAGAATTTTTAAAACATGTGATGCCTGACTGTTCAGTCAGGAGCACTGACCTCATTTTCATTATACAACAACAGCTGTCTGTTGTGAATGAATCAAAATTATACCTGTTGTTTTTGTCAGATTGGCAAAAAATATATTTTTTGATGTGCCACAGAATTTTAGCAGTTAGTTTATATGTGTTGTGAGGTGAAAAACGTTGAAAATCGCTGGGATAGTGTAACATAAGAAAATTAGCCACCAATATGTTTCAATATGAACAAACCTTATGTATGAAAGCTAAAACCTGTCAAACATATAAATTATCAAGTATTCATTATCAGAAAAAAAGAGACCAATTCTACAATTTTTCAGTTCTAGTTTGATAATAAAACATGTTTTACCATATTACCCGGAAGCTTCCATTTGAAGAAATCACATGGATTATGTATTATATATCCATATTTTTAACTTTGATTTTTTTCCTTGCTGGTCTTTATATCATAAGAAGAGGTTAAAACAGAAGACAGGAACTTTGCTCTCTGATTTCCAGCATTTATAATGGTGCTTGATATGTGATCAGCATTCCAAAAAGAAATTGTTGAATGAATAAATATTATTCTGGAATGGGAATGAATGAGAAGAGCTATTCTTTCAGTGAGTAGAGTTAATAAATTCAAAATATAAAATTCAGCTTATCTAAAATGTAACTCATTATATCTTCTTGCCAAACATGCTGATTCCCTTCTTATTTCCCTTATCTTGAATAATTCCATACTCAACTTCACCTCTCCTATACCTCCAGCATCCAGTTCTTCAGCCACTTACCCTGCTCTCTGTGATTTCCTTCTCCCTCCCTTCCCACTGCTGTTCTGTTAGTCTGTCACCTCTCCTCTGGCTTATAGTAGTAGCCTTTAAAAACTAGTCTCTCTGCTTCTGATGTTTTACCTTTTTCAATAGCCATACTGCCATCAGTTATTTTTCTATAATCCTGACCTAATAATGGTATCATCGTTTTTTATAAATTTACCATAGTTCAAACTTTGCTCGAGGCAGTATCCTGGAACCTTCATGAACTGACCCATAAATCACTTACCAGCACCATCTTCCATCCCCTATACTATACTGCATTCTGTGTTGTGACTTAGTTTTCTCCTCTGTTTAAAACTGTTTGCCTGGCAAACTCCTGTTTATTTTTTTTAAGGGTCAGCTTACTGATGTGAAGCTTTCCCTGACTGCAGTTCCCTCTCCCTAGTAGAATTAAGTTGTTTTCTCCTATGTATTTCCTTAGAAAGTCATACAATTTTTTATTGTAGTATTTCTTGTATAAAAATATATTTACCTAAGAACCTAGGTTGTGAAATCTTTAAGGTAAGAACTTTTATCTGCTGTGATTGACATTATAATTGGCACATAGTGTTCACTTAATTGTTTATTATATAAACAGCTATTAACTTTTATTACTATTGAGTAACTTAATGAAAAAATATGGATTTTTGGTTCTAACATACTGATGCACTTACTATTTTTCTGTAGGGTTTCTCCTTTATGTTAGCTTCTAAGGGAGAACAGTAAACTCTGGGTCTGTCTTGCTCACTGCTCTCTGTCTAGAACTTAACACAAGGCCTGGTGTATGCTAAATAATGTTTGTATATTTATATGGCAAATGTTCTAAGTGTTATAAATAAATGTTTGTTGAGTGAGAGAATAGTCTCCATCTTTCCTCTCTATCACAATCACCACTTTGCTTTTCGAGGCAGAGGAATAATTCTTTTCCTTGTTAATTTCCCTCTGGTATAACTGTTGTCTATCTTGAACTTACCTGTTGCAGTCTCAAGATAGAAGTTCTAGCATTTTATAACACTTTGAGGCAATTTATATTTATCTAGAAAGTTATTTACTGCTTATGCTGTTTTGGAAGAATAAAATGCCTTAGGGAATTTGTAAACAATTTTGATGCCTTTTTTCCACCCTCAGCAGTATCAGCTTTGGTGGAGTAGATTGTTATACCAGTTTTCAGAAATTCTTTGATTCATGGTATTGGAACATTTGAAGTAATTTTTCCATTTTTTTCCCAGGTGGATATTTGAAACTAGGGGGCAGTTAACAGATATCTGACTTGGCCTACTTGTTGATTTGCTGGCATTGTTTAAATAGTGCTTGTTTTCCTGCTTGAGATATGTATTTTTAACTAAAATTAGTTTTTTTAATTTATTGATTTTTAGAGAAAAGAGAGAGAGAAACATTGATGTGGTGTTCTGCTTTTATGTACATTCATTGGTTGATTCTTTTATGTGCTCTGACTGGGGGTTGAACCTGCAACCTTGGTTTATCAGGATGACACTCTAACCAACTGAGCTACCTGGCCAGGGCAAATCAGATTTTTTTTTTTAATTGTTGTTCAAGTACAGTTGCCTTCATTTTCCCACTCACCCCAGCCATCCACACCTCCCTCCCCTGATCCCACTCATTATCCCATTTGTCTATGTGTCCTTTATAGTTCCTGAAAACCCTTCTCCCCTTTCCCCCCATTATCCCCTCCCACCTCCCCTCTGGTTACTGTCAGGTTGTTCTTAATTTCAGTGTCTCTGGTTCTGTTTTGCTTGCTTGTTTATTTGTTTTATTGATTAGGTTCCACTTATGTTGGGAACCGCCCTGACTGGTATCAGAAGCTGAAACCTCTGCCTAGGCTAAGGCTAAAGGAACGCCCTTGGAACTGTAAGCCAGCAAGGAGACAAAAGTTTATCTCCCTGGCAGGAATGCTGCTTCTGCTGCTTTATTCATAACTGAACCCCCAAAAGCTTGGTTGGTTAGCCAAAGACGGGTAAGATTCCCCAAGGGGGGAACGACCTAAGGCAGGCACGATCACTTTGTGAGGCCCCCCAAAAGAAGGACTTGGGGGGCTGCAGCAAAAGGGGGTGATGGACCCTCGCTCCTCGGCTTTGACATAGCCTGAGTTCTCATTGTCTGGGAGAAAAATCTCCTTATCTCTTGGTTGCCTTGGTTCCCTTGCTCCACCTAAGCCTGAAACAATGACAGGGTGGTGCAGCTCTGTGCTGAAAAGGGCGGATTCCTCGGGTGATCAGGCCTAAGAAAGAATATGTAAATTACTGTGAAACCTTCTTTGTTTAGAATGCTCTCATTGAATGAGGGGGGTCCAAGGAGGAAGTTAGTTTGTTCCTCAGTCTTACAGCTCTTTGACCCCGATTCAATAGACCGGCAGAGTTCCTTGTTTTCTATAGTTCCTTACTTCCCCCTAATGACTTCTGTACTTTACCTGAATTATTACGCAGAATGAGCCCAATAAAAGCAGGTATGGACTGTAAATCAGCGTGCTCCCCACTAGGGGGGGTGGCCATTTCGTCCCTACTTCCCCACAGAAACTGGTCTGTCTCTGTGCATGTGTGTTTTTTCTCGCGTGTTTTATCGACGAGCCATCCACAGCATTCCATGGTCACTGCTGGCCGGTGACCCACGCTCAACACACTTAAAGGTGAGATCATATGGTATTTGTCTTTCACTGCCTGGCTTATTTCACTTAGCATAATGTTCTCCAGTTCCATCCATGCTGTTACGAAGGGT